GCTAATGTGTTTTCTGGGTAAGGGTTGATTGCTATTGGTTATTCTACCACTTCTAAGGTTCATAAAACAACGAACTTATCACTCAGAAAGTACTTTTACAATGGTTATGTCTCAACAATCTTTACTTTGTTCTAAATTTCGTGATGACCAATGACGGTCCCACCGGGCGTGCCAATTTGTTTACAGTGATTTCTGGTAAACAACCGCTAGTCCTCCAAACTATCAAATAATCTTAATGACTGTTATTTAATCTCTCTGGTAACTTGCAGGATCGACTAGATTGATCCTATGGTGTATTGGTCGTTTGGATAATTCTCATTGTAGAACTGATATTCATGGTTGGTATTTAGAATGTTGTGTAGGCGTTCAACTTACTTCGATTACCATATTAAAGAGATCCAATGACATGATCAAGTAAAGACGTGCGAAACTAAATTCCATGAATAAAGATTCGATTGTAAGGAAATATAAAACTGCAAGAAACAAGTAAATAACTTTGAAGTATAAGAGTTTCTGAAAGGTAAAGGATTCGAAATAAAAAGAAAGCGTTTAAATGCAAGAAATCAGTAAATGGCTTTGAATGGAAAGATATTCGAATGAGGAAAGCATGAAGATAAAAGCGTGAAATGTAAAAGAGTTTCTGTAATGTAAAGTACTCGAAATAAAAGGAAAGACTTTCAAATGCAAGAAATCTGTAAATGACTTTGAATGAAAAGACTTTAATGTAAAGGCTTTTGAATGATATTGACATGAAGATAGAAGATAAACTAGAAATGATAAAGAGTTTTACTGAATCATAAATATTTGGTGTTATCATACGTACATTGTTCGAGCATTCGTTTCCCTAGCCATGTGGTATTTTGAATGTTTACTGAATTTTGTACAATAGATATGACACACGAAATCCTAACGCTAAGACTTCTATTTATACTACTTAGACCATTACGGTCTTGCCTATAAGATTCTGCCACGTTCAGAACATGCAGAGAACTGCCCCTCTCTAGCTTCCACGCGTCTTCGAATGCTCCAGCGCATATATTTTAAATTTCGAACATCCCGCTTGCGTTTGAATTTCAAATGTTTTGGCACTCTTCGCTTCGAACTCCTTTCTTAAACACAGTCTCATTACCACTTCGAGGCTTCTTTTAACTATATCTTCACAACTGTCACTCGAAGCTCCGAGATTTGACATGTTCATTCGAAGAACTGCTTCTACCATTCTGAACCATGACATCTTGCTTTATTCCAACGAAACATCCAACTTTCTTTGTTTCGAACTGTATCATCAAAATCTTCAGCCAACAGCTCCTCATGAAGTAGTCTAGTGAGTTCCAAAACCTTCTTCTCGTTTGCGTAGAATTGGGCTTCGAAAGTATCTCTCTCCCCCTTGAGTTGTATCCAATCTCTTTGTAGGTTTCAAGAGAGGTGGGTATATGAGGATGTAGTATAGTGTATGGAACATCTCCCTCCATGACAGGCTCAATGATTATCACGAGAATGGAGGGGTAAGGCATCATAAGACTCTGAGCACGAGTTCGTACCCATTTGAGGTAAGGCTCAAGAGGGATGAAATTCTTTTGCCCCAAAGTCTTGCTATCCACCTTATTCAACATCCTCCAAGCTCAGATAAATATCTGGCGAAGATCTTGATCTTCGTTGTCGTAGTCAAATACCACACCTTGAATCAGCATCTCGTGCAGGCTATCTCTTCGGGCGTAACCAAACTGTCTTAAGAATAAGCATGGGTTGTAGGTGATACTTCCCCTAATGCCAAGTAAAGGGACATTAGGTAATTCTCCACAACGGTCTAAAATGATAACATTCTGTTTAGATCGGGAGCACCAATGAATGTCTGAATGTTTGAGGGTCATCAACCTTTGTGACCACCTTGAACCTTGTTCATTTTTTAATACAGATTGGGGAAGATGCAAAATAAACCATCTTTCCAGGAGAGGAGTGCAACATATAAGGACACCTCTTTTCCTCATTGTGCAAGTGTGAAAAGAGTGTAGGATATCTTCTAACAAGAACTTTGCTAAGAAACCTTTGACACCACTCCTTGTTTCCCAATGAGTTGTGATATCAGATGAGTACAAGTGTAGAGCTTGAGAAATCTCTTCTGGCTTTGGATCTCTTTCCGTACCGTTGAAAGGTAGTTGATTGAGAATGGGAATCCTCAAGAGTCGGGATAATTCTTCCAAAGTTGGCACAAGTTGATAATCGGGAAATGTGAAACAATAGTGTAAAGGATCAAAGAACTGAAAGAGCACCTTCATCATATCCTCATATGTGTTAGAGGTGACCAAGTTGAGTAGGCGACCATGTCTCTCGGTAAACGGATAGTTTTCAGGTATCCTTGAAACTAGCTCCTTGAGTTGTGGAGGGATCCTCACAAGATTGACTTGAATAGTTTTCTTCTGAAGTGAATTCATATCCTACAAAACAAGAACAAAGATGAATCCCAAAATCCTTGAAATGGTTAGTGGATGTATATGATGTTCATGAAGTTATGTACAAGTATGCATATACAAACAAAACAAACAAATCCTTAGGTTTAGGCTTGAATGGTGTTTTATAGGTAAGTACCCTCTTGAAGTTTAGTTAGCTTAAACTTGTCCTAGTAATAGTAACCGGGTTCTAAGGAGCTCAATATCACTGGTTTGTTTCCTCTATCATTATTTCAGCACAAGCCTCTTTAATGGCGACTGAAATATCCCAAGAAACTAAACCTCAATGAGTGTAGTGTCGAGTATCTACCAACTTCGGACTGCACCAAAGACGGTCATCTCACTACATCCTAAAGGCCTAGTTGGTCAAGTAAAGGTTCTAAAAGTTTATTAGTGCTTCATGACATCACTCAGCGGCCCCGTATTCTCTTTGATTAACTCAAAGGCTACCGGTACCCACAAATATGTCGCACTAACGTAGATATTGCTTAGACCATGTCGGTATACCCCGCACAGTTTCCACAATGTATTGCTACTTACCTATAATGTATCCCAAATCCGGGTAGAAGATTCAAACACAAACAAAGAATCATAATGTAAAGCATACAAGTCAAACAATGTAAGCAAATAAATGTGATGTATCCCTAAGGTAACCCCACTTTTAGAATTATTCCCAGCAGAGTCGCCAGTTCTGTGATACGGTGGGAGAACTGACTTCAGGGTTTTGCGTTTGATCACAAATGTTGCGGTTAGCAAGAGTTTCCACCAACTTTTCTTTTATCCAAAAGGAAATGTGAAAAAGCACAGGAAAGACCTTTGAGATTGTTTCTTGAGTTAAGGGGGTAGATTATGAAAATGGAAGGTATTAGAACCCTTTTCATTCATGGTTATTCATGGGCTCTTAGTTACTTGCTAGATCACTTGCTTTTGTTTGAAATTGTGCTTTGTGTGGTTTTTTGAAAGTATTTTGTAAAGAGGCTATTGTTTAGGCAATCTTTGTAATGATTCTTGTGTGTAAGAATGTATACAAAGATGTTTGATCGTTTGAAAACATTTTCAATTTTTGTAAGATGTTTGAAAGTGTATGTGTTTGTTTTGAAAATAGCAAGGATATTTTGTTTGAAATTGAGCAAGTAATTAGGAGCATTCTACCTACTCAAATGTCTTTCTTGTTCATTTTCTTTTCCTTTGACATTGTTCTCTTACCATTGATTTGGTAAGCAACCCTATCTTTGGATGTAAACGGGACAGGCATGGATCATTGTATAGCCATGATTAGCAATATTGCAAAGTATCTTACCATTTTTCTTTAGGGGCTAAGATCATTTTTAAGGCAACTTAGATAGCGTCATCGAGGGACTATGATCTTGTATTCATTTGTTTTTGCTAAGATACCTCACATGCGTAATATGGCCATTTTTGTAAGGCAACCAAGTGGAGTAACCCTAGGGGTGCTTGTGTGCAAATGTATTGTTTTCATGCTTTGATTTGTCTTAATTAGGGTTTTCTATTTGTTGGTTTTAGTCTTTCCATACAAACCCTAATTACTAGCATTTGTATATAAAACATTTAAATTGCGGAAAATAAAAATACTAAGCTATTACATGATTTGTGGGAAGGGGGTGTACAAATTGAATGGGGATTGCATGAATGTAAAGCCTAATTAGTCTATTACAACCATATTGAATTTATACAATAATTGAAATAAATAAATGTACAAAAATAAATATGCAAGAATGTAAATGCAAAGAAAATGGATCTTTTTGTTTGGATTTTTTTATGAGAAAGAGAGAAATTGTTTTAACCTAATTAATTTAAAGAAAATAATTAATTAAGTTTAAATTTATTAAGAAATGATTTTTGAATAAAACCCTAATTCTATTTAGTTGATTAAAAGAAAATAAGTTTTGAAAAAAATATTTTTTTTTGGTGTTTTTGTCTTGAAAATATTTATGGTCATCATGAAATATTTAGTCTTTTTTATATAAAAAATAATATATTTTAATAGGTGTAAAAGAAAAATAAATATTAATCTAGTTTTAATTAAATTTACAAGGTGATTTGGAAAAAATAAATAAAATATAGTTAATAAAAAATATTTTTTTGGTGAGAAAAAAATAAAATAAAATAAATTAAAATGAAGATAAATTTTTTTTATATTTTTTATGATTTTTAATATTAGTGAAAAATAATTAAGAAAAAAAACAAATAAAATAAAAATAAGAAAATAAAATAAATGGCCAGGGGTGCATAAGCAGGCAGGGAGGTTAGTTAGTAAAAAAAACAAAAAGTCCAAAGGCCAGACACCCTGCAAAAAAGGTTAAAAAATGTAAAAATATGTAAAAACACAAAATAGGTACCACTGGAGTTCGAATCCAGGTCCCAAAGGTTAACATACGCGCGCTTTAATTAAACAATTTCGAAAATTATTAATTAAAATAATTAACTACTAATTTATTATAAAAAAATTAATTAAAATAATTAACTACTAATTTATTATATAAAAATTAATTAAAATAATTAACTATTTCATAACATAAGATGAATTCCGAAATGTATTTTGCAACCACAGTGTTCCTCCTCTTTTTATCATACATTGCTATAACACTATTTAGTAGAACTAAAACACATATCAATCTTCCACCAGGGCCTTCACTTTTTACCCTTATGCTAAATGCTTCTGAATTAGGAAAACAAAAACCACAACACTCGTTAGCCAAACTTTCCAAAATATATGGTCCAATAATGCGTTTGAAGTTAGGTCAAATAACAACCTTTGTAATTTCATCACCAGAAATTGCACAAGAAGTGCTTCAAACTCATGATCTCTTCCTCTCAGACCGAACTATTCCTCAAGCTGTAGCAGTTCTTGATCATCAGCATTTTAGCTTACCCTTTATGCCAGCTTGCGATCTTTGGAGAGACCTTAAAAAAATAAGCAAAAATCATTTGTTTTCCAGCAAAACACTTGATGCAAGTTATCAACTTAGGTGTAACAAACTTCAAGACTTTTTATGTGATATTGATAGAAGCAGTATAAGGGGTGAAGCAGTAGATATTGGAAGAGCTGCTTTTAAGACTACATTGAACTTTTTGTCAAACACTTTTTTCTCTATGGATTTTGCTAATTCTGCTGGTGAAACTGATGAGTATAAAGATATAATTGAAAATCTTGTGAGAGTCATAGGAACACCAAACTTGGTTGATTTTTTTCCCGTTTTAAGTATGTTTGATCCAAAAGGTATTAAAGGAATATCATCTACTTTTCTTGAAAAATTGTTACAAATTATTGATTCCTATACTACCAAAAGGTTGAAGATAAGAGAAGGCGAAAATTACATCCCAAATGATGACATGTTAGATATGCTTCTCAACATCTCTCAAGAGAATGGGCAAAAGATGGACAACACAAAAATTAAACATTTATTTCTGGTAATTTTCTCTCCATCACTTTTCTATTTTCTATTTCATTTTTTATTATTAAATATATGTTATAAATTTATGAAAGAAATATTTATATTGATTTTTTTCTTTGTTATAGGATTTATTTGTCGCGGGAACTGATACAACTTCCTACATAATAGAACGAGCCATGGCTGAATTAATTCACAACCCACATGTTATGGCAAAAGCTAAAGAAGAGCTTGAACAAGTAATTAGTATAGGAAATTCAATTGACGAATCAAATATTACTAAACTCCCATATTTGCAAGCAGTAGTAAAAGAAACGTTACGTTTGCACCCATCAACTCCACTTTTACTACCAAGGAAAGCTAGGATAGATGTAAAAATTTGTGGATACACTATTCCACAAGGTTCACAGATTCTAGTTAATGAATGGGCCATGGGAAGAAATCCTAGCATTTGGGATAATCCAAATATGTTTTTTCCTGAAAGATTTCTTGGATCATAAATTAATTTCAAGGGCCAATATTTTCAATTCACACCATTTGGTGGTGGGAGAAGAATGTGTCCTGGAATGCCACTTGCTATACGAATGTTACATACGATGTTAGGATCATTGATTAATTCTTTTGACTGGAAAAAGGAAAACAGAGATAGAGACATCGATCAACCATTGCGAGATATTCCTATTAGAGTAAATAAACTGTAACATACAATTGAGTACCTTTGTTTTATTTGTATAAGGAACTCTCCTCCATTGTGACGGAAAAAATATTGGTTTATTTGTCTTGATCATTTGTACATGCAACAAATCTCTATTACCCTTACACTATCATACCATGTTGCTTTTTGTTTTTGTTTTTGAATTTATTACTCGTTTCAATTTGTTATGGCCTCAAATTTGACATTTCAATCTTACAATGTGTTTATTCATTATTTTCCGTGAGAAACACCTCAAATTCACATCCTATTCCTTAAACAAATTCCAATCAAAGGTATCATAAAACATCTAAAAATAAACTAAAGTCATCAAATATTCCCACAAAATATAGGCATTAAAACAATTATTTTTCATATCATTAAACTCGCCCTAAATTATTTATAAAAAAAAAACACTCATCGATAGTTCACTCATCTCTCATTTATTTAATTATCTCAATTATTTAATTATTTAAAGGCATTTTGAGTCCTATCAAATTTTATCTAAAAAACTTATTATCATAAACTTGATTGATATTCAAGAATTAAATACAAACAAACTAAATTAAAATATTTTATCTAATAATAGCGATAACACAATAGTTATATATACGACTTATCATGGTGTAAATAAATTATTAAAAAGAGTCTAAATTGTATTAAGTTGCATCATTGCGAAAATTATAGCAAAGACATTAAAAACTAAAGAAATTTTAAGACTATTGTAAAAAGATAAAACAAAACTATGAAGTAAATTACGACAATTGCTTTATATGTATAAATAGTGTATATACTAAAGAATTTGAGCTCTTTAATATTTGAGGAACTATAAACGTGAAATTATTCTAAAGCTAATTTCCAAAAACTAAATGGTAACACAATTGTATTTCCAAACATTACGAGGTCATGTTGCTAGCTAGTGTGTCCACTTGTCTTATACATTTTATGATTCTTCATATTTTTATGTGTCTAGTGACATATATGTATTGTATCAACACTATCCGGTTGTGTTCTTTATTGTATTTCTTAAATTTCCTATTTTTCTTTCTTAGTTTGGCCGTGGATATCTAACAGTTTGGCCTTAGGCTCTCATTTGTTGGTCTTTTTTCTTGAAAGTGCTTATGAATCTTATTTTTCTATGAATACCAAAATTACATTAAATATTGTGAAAAACACTTAAAACTAAATCAATTATAACAACTTATTCTGAAAATAATAACTTAAAAAATATTTATTTAACACGTCATCATCCATCCAATTAATCACCATAACCAATCATCTTCAAAGAACTCATTTCTTGTATAAGAATACTGTTAATAGAAAATTGAACGGTACATGACAAATATTTTCACATTTTTGATACTAATACCAAATTCAATTTGAAATTTAAAGAATAAAAAACATTTGAGAGATAAAGTTTAGATGAATATGAAACATTACTTGCATATTGAACTAAAATCGAGTTTCCATTTAGAATACTAACCCTAATATGTTTTATTTTATGAAAGGAACAAAAATCTGATGGATAAGAAAATAATGTTGGAGGGAGTTACTAGGAGCATTGATACAAAATTGAGGACAATACACCTTTGTGAGAGACACGCCATTTATCTAACTAAAATCTTAAGGTGATAGGTGAGTGGGCTCTCCCACTTAAATATGCTCAAGTCTCCACATTCCTATCCAATGTAGGACTATTTCCCCACTAACTCACACTTGCATTATTATTCTAACACTCCCCTCAAGTGGGAGTCCATAATCCTCTCCCTCAAGACACTTGTATTATCATTGACATCATGCAACAAGATACCTCTTCTTGGGCATTTCGAGACAAGTTGGTCCCTTTCTCTAACCAAAAGCTCGTGATACCATATGTTAGGGGAGTTAACTAGAGCTCATTGATACATAATGTAGGACTAGGCACCTTGTGGATTGGCAACATTTTTTTAAAACATGATTCTGACAAGAAGTCGAACAAGATATCTTGACATCATGTTCTATTATGCAGTAGGTGTGCACTACTTTTTTTTAAATCTTGATATATTTGATTTGATTCTTTTATATTTCCTTTGGATATATTTCAGATAATCTTGGAGGTCAAGAAGATTTGATTTAGAACTGATTTGTATCTCCAGCTGGACACTTGTTTCTAAATTGGGCCTGAGACAATTTAGGAAACTTTGTATTGGTTGTTCCAAGATTGAAGGAGATTTGCTACAAAATTGGTGCATCACTCAGCTTATGGATCAAGAAACTTTTGGACTTAGAATATCGAAGCCCATGTACTGCAAAGTTATATTTAACGAGGAATTCTAACCTAATGTAACTTAAGTTTTCAACAATTGTAAAATTAGGGGAAGCATAAGTCTTTGGTTTTGAGAGTCTATTATGTAGTTTGTAAGTCACCATGTATCTATTGATATTATATGGTCGACTGATTATTACTTTACTGTTAGCCAAGTTATTGTTCTCACTCAGAAACCTTTAGGTAATGGGTTGAGTATTGTTCTCAGTCAAAGATTTTAAGCAAGAGTTTGAGTTTTTCTATTTGAAGTGTAATCTTCTAAGTTGGGTTGTATTTGTTACAGTCAACGGGATTAGGACTGTTAGATATCACTGAGGTGGTTTAGGAAGTGAGATGGAGATTTCTCACATCTACGAGGTGTCTATGTAGAAGTAGAATTGGGTCGAGATTAGATAATAAGTTGTAAATGGGGGAGTTTAGCTTTGAAATAATACTGCTGATAGTGGACTTCTTTCATGGCCTTGTATCCCCTAGATATATGTGAGTTTGCACCGAACTGGGTTAACAACTCTATGTGTTATTTACCATTTTGCATTTTTATTTTTGTATCACTTATAACTTAATTGATATGGTCTGCTACCAAATATCCATCTTAACATAATGTTCTGGTGTTGGGATGTGTGTATGTTGCCTGTACCAGAATTTCCAGACTCATAACTTATCCACCTAAAACCTTAAGGTGATAGGTGTTGCACCCCAAAATTCGTCCTCTTCAGTTTAACCCTAATTGGCTTATTTTTTATAACATACTCATGTATACATATCATTAATTCCATGGTTACAAGATCAAGGCATTTATCTGCGTCAGGATATAAAAAAAAAAGTCCATCAGGCAGTACAACAAAGTAGAAACTCATGGGTTTTCGAGATTCAAGTTCACTCTGTATATTTTTCCGAGCTACTCAATCATTGGGTAATCAGGTCACCATTATTCCAAGCTCTCAAGTGTTCTATCATGCCTTCTATTTCCAAGAAAATCAAGTGTTTCAGTTGATTTGAGACAATTTCCAATTACAATCAATATTTTGCAATTTATGTTCAAAAATTCATAACTTCCATCCATAAATATGTTTTTAAGTGAGTCCTTACGCGTTAAAACAGTCTCGAAATCCTCTTCATTTCATATGTTTGAGCCGGAATCTAATTCTTTGAAAAGATCTCAGAAATTGCAAAATATGTTAAAAATCGCAGAATTTTTTTTATTAATAACCAAGTATTAAAAAAATATTTCGCGAATAACCGGGTTTCGGAAAAAATTACGCAAATAACCATGTTTGAGATGGCTCCATAAAGGAGGAGCCATCTCATTTGGCGCATCCTCCTCTTTTTATAAGGGAGGCGCCATCTCATTTGGCGCCTAAGGGCAAATGGCAAGCCCTAAGCCAAGTGAGATGGCGCCTATGTACAAAGCTAGGTCAAAAAAAAAAATTTTTTTTTCTTTCCTGCGTGTTGCGTATTAGACAGAGATAAACAAAATTGATTTTTTATTTGATAAAAAATAATTACATTGAACTGTTTTACATTGGAATAACAGTAAAAAAAAAGATACAAAAAATACTGGAAAAAAAAAGATACATCAATGATCCCCAGGAACCCGGTAATGACCCCCAGTTCCGCATCCCCGTCCTCGCCTTTCTCTTGCTGGGTGCCGTCTCGTTTCCTGTTGCGGCAAGGTCGATGGCCCAGCGAAGTCAATGCGATCCGAATCCATAAAATCAGTAAGATCTCCATATCTCGAAGATCCGCTCTGGTACAGTCGGTTACCCATACCCTCGAAGTTTGGTCGTGTTGGCGGTGGGTGGGGTTCCATGGTTGGTCGGTAGCATTGGTCGTCTGAGTATGGGGGGTAGAAAGGAAAAGGATCTTGGGGTGTTTGGTACTGTGGATGTTGGGTTGTTTGGTGATATGGTGGTTGATGGTAGGTTTGGTCGGGTTCGTCATAATCTTCTGACATTCCCATATCAGGGCTAAGGCTGGATGTTGAGGGCCCCATATTGGGATATGTGGAAGACTGAAATTGTGTATGGGGTATGTGGGTTTGCTGGTATTGGGGTTGGTATTGTGGTTGGGTTTGAGGGATATCTGGGTATTGGTAGTTTGGCGGTGACTGTGGTTGGTAGTACGGCATTTGGTTGTAGTTGTGTTGTGGTGGGGAATGTGGTTGTGTGTTTGTTGGTCTGTTTCTTCTAGGGGGTTGGTTTGAGGTTGATGGATTTTGGGTTTGTTGGTGGGGAATCGAGGGTTGTTCCCATTGTGTGCGTGGGTCAACCAAGTACCTCGGATGAGACACGTGCATATCTGGGTTACTAACCGACCTGTACCACGACATATATTGATCGGTGTGTCGCATGTTACCTTGAGTAAGGAAAATAGGGGATTGCAAGATGTAGCGGTGACGCCTTTGCCACATTTTACACCATTCTGGAGCAAAGTCTTTCCAGTTGGTTAGATTCCACTGGGCGTCGACCCTTTTTAGATGCCAGGGGGACAAATCTGTTGGATCACTTGGTATGTCTTGGATCATTCCGAACTGCATCTTCACACGGTCGCTGTGGTGCATCTCCACAATGTTGAACCGAATGAGTGCAGTCTTTGCAGTCCAAGTTGCTGCATCCTCTGGATTTGGAGAATGGTCCAAACCCAAATATGGTCTCCAGACGAACTGCGATAAAATTTAAATCAGGTAAGCGCAAAAGTAATGTATA